GGAAGCAAAATCTTATTTATTATATAAGCCTTTGTTAGAACAGTAGAAAGGGCTTTATGGAAATTTGACTCTTCATCCTGGGATAGTAGACTGTGGCAAAGGGGAGGGGGTGCTCCCTAAACTTTCCACTAACAGAGGTTGAATGGGCTAGCTCTCAGGAACTCAGGAGCTAGACATCCAATGGAAGGGAGATTCTTTAAATCTTTTCCTTTTTTCTTTGCATTTGTATTTTTTCCTCCTCAAAGTCACTTATTCGGAGAATACTGGGGTAGACTATCTAGGAGCGAGCTATTTCAACACATGAGACACTCCCTTGGTTTTTAGCTTTTCTGGAATTCAAGCACTTGCTTGGTTTTGTCGTAGAGATTTGAGAAAAGTCCTCTGGCTGCTTCCTTCTAGCCGTAAACCACAGTGCTGATTGGCCTCACCGTCTTGTTGTTATTCTCTTACATACTTTCAGAAAAACTTCTTCTCCTCTAGCTCTGCAGCTTGAATAAGTTATACTTTCAAATATGATTAGTGTTGGGCTCCATAGTGATGCTCCCGAAGTCCATTTTTAGGGTTTTAAGCTTCTTTTTTTAACCTGATTGAGCATAATGCCTGTAGGCTCTGTATCTCCTCAGTAGGTGGGATTGAACCCTGATGAAGTAGAGAAGTTACAGTTGGTGTCTCCTGGGACATCTTGGAGCAATGCCTTACGTGTTAGTCAAGGGAAGGGTGTCATCTTCTGTGGGTGAGACCAGTTCTTGTGTTTGTCACAGAGAACAATTCTTTGGGCTCTAAGATGTGGCTTTGCTTCTTCATAAACTGTCTTTTTATTATCGGCCTCTAAACAGTTGGTAAATATAATTGGTTTCTCTTTAAAAGCTTTTTTGGAGTAATTTTATACGTCGCATGAAATGGAAATGATGGAGATAATTTCCTTTCCTCATTCCTTTATGTCACTCACTGCTACGTCTCTGCTGGTGATTCACCTTCAGTGCACCCAGGATACTGTTCACGATCATCTGTAGCTGAGCTCAGTTCTTGCATTCACTGACCATGTGCACCCTTCACTCCACCTTCTCACTTTACAGCTGACCCCACATCTCCACATCTCCAAACTCCAGCTTCCCGTCAGTAAAGACAACCTGTTAGAGTCTACCTTGTCCCCCTAAGGGAACAAGCAGTGTTTCTTTTGCTCTCATTTTTCCTAGCTGTGGACCACTAGTAATTGCAAGGTGATTTACCATTCACCATTAATAAAATTTTTACTAGGGATTTAATAATTAACAAGCTATTTCCTGTTTTTCACACCTAAGTGCGAAAACTACCTTTGTCCTTCTGATGACAGTTGTGCTAGCATACCGTGCTGACGGGAAACTCTTGAGCTTTTGATACAATTTATTCATTGACTTTTCATATTTGGCCTCTGGGGATTTCTTGAAGCTCAGCTGACTAAAGGACCAAAGCTGGGTGGACTAAAATAGGGGTCAGAGTTGGAATGCATTTTCTTTGGAAAGTTTTTTTTTTTTTTTTTAAAGATTTTATTTATTTATTTGACAGAGACATAGCGAGAGAGGGAACACAAGCAGGGGGAGAGGCAGAGGGAGAAGCAGGCCTCCCGCCGAGCAGGGAGCCCGATGCGGGGCTCGATCCCAGGACCCCGGGATCATGACCTGAGCCGAAGGCAGACGCCCAACAACTGAGCCACCCAGGCGCCCCTCTTTGGAAAGTTTTGATAGAAACATACCGTTTGCTGACGGTCTTCATCTATCAGTATTAACATTTCTATGTCAACGTCTAGGAAATATGTGAATCTGATGGAATTTCCTGATTTGATTTTATTTTTTTAAAGATTTTATTTATTTATTTGAGAGAGAGAGAGAGCACACACGAGAGGAGGAGCAGAGAGAGAGAGACAGGCAGACTCTGTGCTGAGCGCGGAGCCCGACGCGGGGCTCTATCCCAGGACCCTGAGATCATGACCTGAGCTAAAATCAAGAGTCGGTCGCTTAACCCGACTGAGCCACCCAGGCGCCCCTAAGGAGAAAGATCATTTTCCCTGAAGGCATTAAGAGAGGCTAACTGCTACATGTGAGAACTGCTATCATGTGGTGTGGTTTTTTTAAAAATTAATTTAGTTTTTAAATTGAGTGTTATATTTTATGCTAAGTTCAAATATGTTCCTTCTTAATTACCCCATTTGGCCCTATGGTAGATTCCAAAGGGTTGTTTTCAAAAGGCTGCCTTTAAAATGCCAAGATGCCTTTGCTTAGAGACATGCATTGGTAAACTTCAAAGAGTAGGGGCAAAAGCAAAATCAATGGTTATGTTTGTTCTTTCTGGGAGGCACAATGTTTCTAATCGGTCACTTGGTGAGGTTTTCTAAAATCGTGCATCAAGCTGTGGTTTAATAGAGTTGGAAAGGATAATAAGCTGGAGTCACAGAAAGCTATTTATATTGGCTGAGTTCTATGAAAATGAGAGCATTAGAGGTTAGTGTTTACAGGGAGAAAGAACACCTGTGTTGCCCCAGGTGATTACCGAAGGGAAATAAGAAAAATGGGGGGAAACCCTACCTTCCAACAACTCTAATTGGCTAGCACAAATTACTGAATTGGTGAACTCTTTCCACAAATATTAACATTGGCTCCACTCTTCCTGTACAGATGCTTTGCCAAAGGTGTATCACACCAGTGAAATTTCTGGAACAGGAAAACAATGATTTGGGAATTATGTATGTAGACTATGGGACTAGAAAGACTCTGCCATTAACTGTGTGACTTTGGACAAATTAGTTAACTTCTTTCTTTGCCTTGGATTCCTTGTCTGTACTTGGAGAATATAGGTGGAGATAATGCTCCCAATGAAATAATGGATGAAAAGTTACGATTTTTATGTATGTAAATAAATGGTATGTCCTTAGCAAGGAAGGGAAATATAAGAGGTAAAATAAGAGAAAAGTCATTTTAGAAGAAAAACTTGCTTGACATTTTTTTAAGTTGGGCACAAATAAGTGAATACATTATATCTGATTTCATCAGTAAAATATTGGCTGAGGATAAATCTACCCTAAACAAGCCACTTTACTTGGTGGCAAAAGGATAACTGCTCTATTTAAAAAGGTGGTAGTGGGCAGTATATTACTTCTTCATAGCTAACAAAAGATCCTTAAATCAACTTTAATGGGCAGGCCTAACATTAGAAAATCTGTGTGTTGGGGATCCCCGGGGGGCTTAGTTGGTTGAGTGTCCAACTCTTGATTTCAGCTCAGGTCATGATCTTAGGGTTGTGGGATTGAGCCCCGCATCAGGCTCCATGCTCAGCAGAGTCTGCTCATAATTCTCTCTCTCCCTCTCCTCTGCCCCTCCCCCATGCGCTCTCTCTCTCTCGAAAATAAAATAAATACATCTTTAAAAAAATGCTATGTGTGTATACATAAGTGCAAGTGTTGAGGGGTGGTGGCTTTTTCCAGAGCTATAGACAGATATGGTTTCTTTGTTTTTTAAATTGCTTTAGCCTCTTAGCTACCCACTTGGTAAAGGGAACTTAAATGATCACTTAGGGACTGAGCTTTGGTTAGTGTGGTAATTTTTTTGGATAATTCATAAATATTCCAATTCTCCCCTTTCTGCCCATGGAAGGATTGCATTTGCTTACCTCATTTGGAGTTAGGCATGTCCACATGACTTGATTTGGCAAATGAAATGTGAAAGGAAGTGATGAGATTTACCTCGCACTTCCTCTGTTTTTGTCACCAATGAGATGCATGCTGCAGTAGAATCTATATCAGCCAACTCTGTTAGCTGGTCCGGGCCAGGTATTGTGAATGAGAATTGTCAGCCAATGAGATCTGGGGGTTGTTTATTACTGAAGCAGAGGCTGGCCTATCCTGACTAAGCTAAGCAGTCTATGGCCGGGTATCTACTGTGCATGAACATAGATTCAGAAGTAACCAGGTGACATAATAGAACCACTTAACTGATACTTAACAGAGAATGCAGCCCACAAACAAAACAAAACAGAACAGAACAGAACAGAAAACCCTTCAGAATCTAGGTCCTGAGAGCTCTTCCGTTTGCACCAGCATTTGCCTTCCCTACCACCAGCTACTGTCTAGCTTAAGTGACTGCTCATTTCTCTTCTATAATCCCTAATTCAGGCTACTATCATTGGCAAAATGAGATTGTGGACCAATAACCTCTTTATTACCACTTCCTACATCTCTCTACCTTGCTACCTCCCTCTCTACATCCCTACTTCCTTCCCTTCCTTCTTTCCTGGAAAAAACAACAACTGACTGCCTACTATGTGCCAGGAACTGTATACATTTCTAGAAGAGCAAAGCCAAAGAACTATGATTTGGCTTCAGAGGAGCTGCTATTTAGTTAATGGCATAGTCTGACCTGTCTCAACAAATAATGTTAATATAAAACAGCAAGCGTTGTACTTGAGATATTTACAGAATAAAATATAGGCTTAGATGTAACACGGAATGACTGTGATCTTGTATGTCTGGACCTTGAAATTTAAATCAGTCCAAACAACACACAAACATCTTAGTAAGATCTACAGTTAGTAGTAGTCTTTCAAACTTTACTAAGTCATAAGTTTGGGAATGTCTTGAGTAGGCAGACACCATTATTTTCAAACAGAAAAAAGAATGATTAAATACATAGAGTATTTGAGGAATGTATGAGAAATGCCTATCTCATTCTGTTAAGCCAGGATGTAGACCCTTCCAACTCACATGATCTTCTCACTATTAGAACAATCATATCTAAAACTGACAATAAGTGGAAATAATCAAATAACAAAGAAGATACATAAACATTGGCAAACGATTTGGGCTGTAGCCAGGATGAGAAGATGTTAGAAAATATTTTACAGAAGCCTGTACATTTAAAAGCTATAAACTCTGATTAAAGGAATTTGCTACTTTAATTTTAATTAAGTTTCATCAACCTAAGGTAGAATTGCAATAAGTGTGAAGAAAAAGTATGGAAACAACAGCTTTTCTGTTGTTTTTTATTCAGCAAAGCATACATTTTTAAAACAAAATCATTCAGGAAAAAAAAAAATCTGCTGATACCACAATGCAAACCAAACATAGCAAAGTTTCCCTACTGATAACATATTGTGATTTTTATTTTGGCATGGAGACATCACAGAAACTCACAGACTTAAAATATATATACAAAGATTCCAAGCGCTTATTTGGGAAATATCACTGGAATGTTATAAAACTGTGAATGGCTTCTAGAACGCAATTTACTAAATCAGTCTTTGTTTTCACAAACTAGAGTAATCTCATCCTTTGACGGTTGAAAATATATATAATCTCTATTTTTACAACCAGGGACGCACAGTTAATTTTCGTCAGTGGCGGGATTGGCCAGGCTTTCACTGTCTTCGGCTGCTGCGTTGTGTCCCCGTTGGCTTGGAATAGCAGGAAGCACTCGGTTGGTCCGCAGAGGTCCTCCAGATAGAACTGGGGAGAAAGGACAGAACGAGAGACTTTCAAGGTTTGCTTCTCTCAGAGTCTCAGGAGGAATGGCTGTGGGAGAACGAGGTTATTTCTAAAGGAGTGGAGGCATTTCTAAGGAGCTTGTCTCATTCAGAGCCTGGCTGCAGGGGAAAGCTGTGTCTCTATCCATTCAGGCTTCCCACATGTCATCAGGGATGTCAAATGTGCACAAACACAGGACGGGGCCAAGTTTGATCAAAACGTGATTGGGCCTTGCGTGCCTGGCAGAGCTCTCTTTTCCTGGGGTGGAGTAGCTGTTGATGGCCAAGTCAGCATAACGCTCTAAATGAGCCCCGAGACATCTGTACTACCCTTTTATGAGAACCTCAAAAGGTTCTTGGGGTTCTCTTAGGAAAAGCCCTCTGTACCTTTCCATTTCTTTTTCATAGAGCTGGAGTTGATCTAAGATCTTTATCTTCACTTCTCTCCGCACATTTAATTGTGAAGAGCAAAAAGCTCTTGGGCTCTACCAAAGAAAACCCCCTCTCTGGCTTCTCCAAGCCCTACCAGGATTCAAGGCCGAGTGAATAGTTAATTAGATATCTTTGTGAGTCATTCCTGCTTAAAGACAACTTCAGGCTTGAATTTCATCCAGTGATTGAATTCACACCATCCCAAACCCTCACTTTTACACAAATCAGTCAAAGCAGAGGAATGGATCTGTTAAGGAAGAGATTTTGGTTTCTGCTACAAACTCTTTGTGTGAGTTTGGACATACATCTCTACCTCTCCCTTTCCTTTTCTGCAGAAGGACAGGGTTTTACTAAGACCCCATGGTTCACTGTTCTTACCTAAGGAATCCTAGAACTCTTGATTGGTCCCTTCCAAACTACAGCCTGGGGCAGAAAAGACATGTTGGATATTTATTCTGTGCAAACAGTTGCCAGTGTTTTCCATACGTTACCTCATGTAATCCTCCCAACAACCTTATCAGGCTGGCACTTATAGGCTAAGGGAGGAAACTGAAGGTTAAGAAACTTGTCTGAAACAGGGCAGCTCTTAAATCATCCAACCTCTCCAATTAAGAGGGTATGGGGAGAGAGAGCGAGAGAGAGAGAGAGAGAGAGAGAACGTGCATGCTCGCATACATGTTATAAATGACGGGGCTGGGATAGAAAGAAGAGGAAAGGAAGGCAATTAGAATCCAGTATTGCTTGTTTGTATGAGCCAGCTGACTCTGTGTCTTATAGTTTTGCTCCCGGCTCTGCTACTTACTACCTAAGTAATGTTGGGCAAATCATGTAACCTCTCTGAACTCAGTTTTCTCATCTGTACAATAGGAATAATAATAGAACCTGCCTCCTACTACATATATGAGGATATACAAACTCAGAATTTCTGGGGTGTGGGGCCCAGAAATCTGTATAACAAGCATTCCAGGTAATACTTCAAATACACTCAAACTTGAAGATCACTGGCTGAATGGAATATATTTAATATTTTATATTGTAAGAAATTTTTGTACAAAATATTATAGAATAAATCAATAATGTCAAAAGCAATATGGGTGAACAGCATCTACATGATTATTCCTTTCTGTTTAGGGATGCATAGCTTCTGAGTACAGTAATGACACATATTTGTACCTGTTCATCATAGTAAGGAAACCAATGTCAAGAGACCAGTCTTAAGAGAAGAATTTTTAAAGTACCTTCTTAAACACATTAAATAGTACATAGCTAAATAAACTTCAGTCATTGTTTTTACAATCCAAACACAAAAATTCCTCAAGGGAGGGAGTTTTTTTTTTTTCTAAACAAGCATTACCAACTTGGATGAAGCTTTAAAGACTGCTTCTCTTGTATTTTCCTGTAATTTACAAGTTTTGGCGCCTCATGTTCCCTCAAAAAATGAAAGTAAACTGAAATAAGAGTTAGTTGCATCTAGACATGTTAACACTTGCAAAGGAAGCTGAAGAAGATTCATAATACTTACATTTTTGGTCTGGCAGGGGAGCTAGGTTGTTCCGAGTGATAGGAAGGTCCCTGATCTGGGCTCTGTTTGGGGAGAAATGCTGAAAATTTTGTCCTGGGGACAAACAGAATGGTATCAATCATTTGAGACATAACCAAGGGCGAATTATAAAATCCAATGGATAAGAGAATCATGAAGTTGTTAGAGATCGCCGAGTTCAAGATGCTAACAAGAACCAAAATCATAACAGCTACACTTTATTGAGTTTCTATTATATGCCAGTCACTGTTTCAATGAAAGAAAAAGATGTGGGAAATCAATTCTTGAATAAATTAATTGAAATAAAATTTTATAAACAAGCACAGTTGGCCACCCACTCTATAAAACTTAAAAGTTTGAAAAAATAAAATAGGGTATAAAGTATAACATATCAATCAAATCTGTGGTGAATGACACAGATAAGTGGGATATATTTTTCTAGATCAGTGTTTCTCAATGCTGGTTGCACATAGGAATTATCTGAGGAGTTAAAAAACAACAACAACACTGCTGCCCTAGCCAAACCCCAGATCAATTAAAAGAGAATCTCTAGGGCTGGAATAGGGCATCAGACTTTTATCCGTTCCCAAGGGATTCTAGTGTGCAATAGGATTGAGCATCACTGCCCTAGAAGATGGGATCTGGGTGAAGTCACCTGGGAGATGGCTATTCTCTACTATAGGCTATAAGCAGTGCTCTGCTGGAGCAATGTGTCCTGGCTCTTGGGAACCGATGGTGACAATTTCAGGACTTTAGTGAGGGGGTTGACATCACAGTGGTGGCTAGGCATCGGTCAAGGTAGAAGTATTTACACCATGGAAATCAGCAAGCACTGATCCTTCTGGAGAGCCAGCAGTTAAATATTTATCAACACAATACTGATTATAAAAGAGCGATCCAAATATCTGAAAATAGAAAGGAATACCCAAGTTATTTAGGTCCTTTTAAATAGTTGACCAAATGGGACAGGATTAGACTCATTTGCCAGCTTGGGCAAGAGATGCTCCCTCTCTAAACCTCAATTTCCTGACACACAAAATGGTGAAAATAATTGTATCTGTCTTTATCACTTGTCATAAAAATAAAGTAGGAGAACAAATGTAAAGCATTTAGCTTACAAGGCTAACGCTCAAGAAACATTAGTAATTATTACAGTTTTATTCTGTGAAGTGTTTAACATGATCTCCTGGAGAGTGGAGAATGTATTCATTCGATCTTTTGCCTCGTAGTCTTGTAAGAATCAAAACAACTATAGGACTGCTGATGGGTTTAATTCTTCTGCTTGGGCCGAGTACTCCTTAGAATAAGGGGGGAAAAGCACTAACCAAGATCCCCGGTCCATCTGCGTAGGGGAGTCCGATGACATATCGTAAGGGCAGACATCTGAGCACTGCCATTTGATGAAAATTGAGCAAAATTTCCAGTCTCTCTGGTGGGTATTATATTTTTATTCCTTTGTATGCTAAAGGTCAAATAACTTCATAAGCTACTATTTAAAAAGAAAACATCCCTGAGTAGAATAACAGTAAGTAATTACAGCAAGTACCCATATCAACTCATACCTTATTTATCCATGAACATTTGGACAGAAATTTACAAAACCAAGAAATGAGATAATGATAATTATGGATAATGTTTACTGAGAACTTACGACTGTCAGGGACTGGGCTGAATGCTATAGGCATGATTTCATTGAATCTAAACAATCACTTTCCCTTGTGACATAGATACCATCATCACCTCCATTTTACAAATGAGGACCCTGGCTTGGAGGCATTCTCAAATGTGTTCAGGGTCACATAATGGAAAGCGACAGAGCCTGGGCTCCAACTTAGGTTTGTCTGACATAGAGCCCATCCTGCCTTCCTAGCAGCCAAAGCCATTTTTACACGATGTGAGATGGGCAGAAAAGGGATGCGGCAGTGATTTGGGAGGTGGGGGGAGAGCTCAACTTCATTCTGCACTGGCATTTGGCTCAGTTTTGAAGGACAGGGTGGAGCTGTACACAGCCCAAAGCTCTTTTATCTGTGCTGCATGCACCTCGGGGAGCATCCAGCCCTTGGGGACAGGGTCAAGGACCACTGTCCTAGATTCAAAAGGCAGGAGGGGTTTTCACAGTTAAACAAAGGAATTTAGTTAAGCAACTAAAGAAATTCAGCACTCATCTATTGTGTATTCACCGTATTCCTGAGCCTGGAGCAAGAAGAGGACAAGGCAAGGTGCTCAGGAGGGGATTACAGTGTATGTTGGAAGAAAAACGGGTTAACTTATTCTTTTGGAGCCCCAGAGTGGTGGTGTGAGGACATCACATAGGAAAGAGGGGTCCAGAGAGGTGGAGGTATCTTGAATCCCACAGAGCTCACTTGAATGTCTGCTCTGTCACTTCCTACCTAGCTCTGTGACCTTAAGCAGATGGGCTAACCTCTTTGTGCCTCCATTTCCTCATTTCCAGAATAGGGATTAAGAACTCCGGAAGTGCTGTCAAAGGGGAAGTATGCACTTCACTATCTGCCCCACAGGAGGCTCAACAAGGTGGAGCTGTTCTTCTATCGTTCATAGTAAGAAAGAGCCACAGCTCTTACAGAGGTCAGGGTGACTTTGAGACAAGGGTGGCTTTTGAGCTGGTTCTTAAAAGATTGTACAAATCTAGGGCGCCTGGGTGGCTCAGTTAAGCGTCTGCCTTCGGCTCAGGTCGTGATCCCAGGGTACTGGGATCGAGCCCCGCATCGGGCTCCCTGCTCTGCGGGAAGCCTGCTTCTCCCTCTCCCACTCCCTCTGCTTGTGTTCCCTCTTTCGTTGTGTCTCTCTCTGTGTCAAATAAATAAATAAAATCTTAAAAAAAAAAAGATTGTACAAATCTGCGAAGCACACAGTGGACAGAAGGTATAAATAACACGGGCACCAATGCCACAGAGTGAAAGGTATGGGTTATCAGGGAACTGAGAGACATTCAAGGAAGTGTTCAAGGGGACGGGGGAAAGGATAGGAGATGTGAGGCCCAGACACCGAGAATGGGAAGTGAGGCCCAGTCATGCTGGGAGCATTTTGTTTACCAGCTAAAGAATCTGATCTTTGTCCTGGAAAAGATGCAGCACCTCTGATGAGTTTAAACAGAGGGGTCACAGGATCAGATCCTACAGGATCAGGGAGGAGAGCACATTGCTGCTGGGATAGTCCAGAAAACTGGGGCGAAGGAAGTTCTCTCTTGAAGGAGAAGGGAAGCGAGCACTTTCTTACTTTCAGTGTGATGGCTTGTAAATAACCAGGCTGGTAGCAAACACCACAGAGCTTTCTGTTCCATTTTCTCTGAAAGCTGCTCACAATGAATTAAGCTGATGTGCTCCAAATTTCCTCATTAGGTTAAGTGCCTCATCCCGCATCTCTCTCCATCTAGCCCACTGACAGGTCTCAATGAATGTTAAGTAATAATCATTACAGTTAAATGTTCAGAGTTGCTGATGCAAGCACAGGATATTGGCTGCCAGGAATTCAAACAGTAGCACTGCTAGACCCTATTATTTCTACTAAACGCTAGGGCAGGAAAAGAGAAAATCCAAAGCTAAAGGGACTATCCAAGTTTAAATCAGTGGTGGGTGCAGTGGTATGACTTACAGTATCCAATTGCTTTATCGTATTAGACTTCGTATCAAATATGGGAGATCAATGTTGAAATGTGCTAGATAAAGAACTTAAACCACTTAAGTGAACCCTCATAACTGTAGTCCAGAAGCCTCAGTAGTTCTAAAAACAACATTTCAAATTGGGTTAAAAATGTCCACAAAAATAAAATCCATAAGACAGGAAAATCTTTTTGTTTTGGGAAGGACAATGTAATTTCTAAGCACATCGCACCGTGGGTAAATTGGTAAGTATACTAACAAACTGGACTTTGAGATTTCAGGAGAGAAATACATTGCCACGGTGATACTTGCTATTTAGGAGATCTGGGTTCGAGTGCTGATTATGTCATTAATTAGTTGTAAGACTTTGAGCAAACCGTTTTAACTATTCTAGGCCATGTGAATTATAACTGAAAAGGGCCTCATGAGACATAATGGTCTCAGCCTCTGGATGAGTAAGAAACTCACTCAGAGAGATGACATGCCTTGCTTTATCAATGAGGGCTCATCCAGGAAAAGAGACCTCTCCTGGTCTTTCAAACAGGGAATTTCGTACAGACTGTTGGTTATGTCTGCGATAGAAAAGCTAAGAAGACAAATGAAGAGAGGGTAGAAGGACAATCCAGAGATGAGCTGTTATATGAAAAAAAAGCAACCCCCCTTAGGCTGGTGAGATGAGAGGAAGAGGAGGTAGAAGCTCGTGGGGTCCAGAGCCACAGTGAGCAGCTGTGGGGGGTGGGGGCGGGAAGGAGAGGATGGAACCGTCACTGAGGCTTCCAGAGGAAGCCGAGGGACATTGTGTACAACTACACTGCTTTCCCTCATTCTCCTACTCTTCTCCTTCTACCGCGCCTCCTGGGACTTGGCCAAAGTACCTGGAAGCAGCTTCAAGGAAGTCTAGGAAGGTTGTTCCCTGAGAGACAGAAGAGAGCTGGAGGGAAAAGCCTAGATGTGAAAGCAATGAAGCAGTTGACTAGCACATTTACTTAAATTTCATTATCTTTAAAACAAGGTCATTTCTAGCTTGTATCTGAAGCATAGTGCTTAGTATAGAGCCTGGCACATGGTTTCTTAAAACAAAAAACAAAAACCCAAATACTTCCTTGTGTGTATAACACTATATTCAAATCACTGTTCTAAGTACTTTACTCTTTTAATCTTAACAGCAACTCCCAGTCCTATGTTAGGTTTTTTCCTCCCAGTTTTTTCAGGTGAAGAAACAAAAGCCCAGAGATTAAGTAGCAGCAAGTAAGTGACAGAGCCGGAATTTAAACCCAGATTTTTTTTTTATTTTCTTTTTTTTTT